CATTCGGCTTTGCATCCCTAGTCCTCTGGCGTTGATTCTATTCCCAGATACGCTTTCTTTAATTCTGCACATATATGGTAGACTTGCTTTTCAAATTCACTGTGGATAGCAATGATTTGATTTCCAAAATAAAAACATGAAAAAGAGAAACTTAATAAAAAGAGGAAAACTTGTTTATATTATAGGAAAAAAGCAACATAGTAGATATATCTCAAAACATGAGTAATTGGGTGAAAAGAGATATTCTTAAGAGAAATAAGAATAAGAAATGCATTAGATGATTAAGAAGTGCTATATGTGCTTGTTCTAATACATCATTTTCTTTGTTCTAAATGCCATATTAAATACTGGCTTAAGTGATTTGTTTATGGTCTGTTGAATTACTTGTGTTTAGTAGTTAAGCAAAGAGTGCATCATTCCAATTTGATGGTACATTTGCATAACATTTATGAGTGACTGAGTCATAAATAAATGGAAATGGCTTGGAAATTTTTCCCATTTTTTTTTCCTCCTTGAATCATGGAAAACAGCTGTTCTTTTAAAGAAGCCTTAAGAGGAGATGGGATAAAATTCACGTTAACTTCAATCAGAACTCACTGTATTCTTTTATTTTGACTTCAATTGTGTTCACTGTTATAACCTGCATCATTGCTCATAAAAACCTTTACCACTTTGCTCAAAGATACAAATCAGCTCTCTTTTTTCCAACTCTCCCCAGATAGTTCCTCCTCCCTAAGAAACGGACTAACCTGCCCTACCTTTTCTGTGTTTCCTTACGGCCAGTACGGCTATCGCAGCCTCTGAGCTTAGGAAAGGGAGCCCTGGTCGCACAGTCGTTGAGCAGCTCCGCTGCTAACAGATGGATGGTTCAGACTGTCAGAGCTCCACAGGCGAAGGCCAGCATGCTTTTTAGCTATCCTGTGTGCTTCCACAAAGCTGATAGCCTTGGAAACCTCAGGGACAGTTCAGCACTGCCTTGTCTAGTCACTATGAGCCAGAGCCAGCTAAAGTTGACTCAATAGCAATCAGTTTTAGAACATGGAAAACAGTATAAACCCCACTTATATATTCAGCCCTATTAGCTGCTGCTTTTTCTTTACCCTGCTGCTTCAGCGTCTCCTTTTTTCTCCTGTGTTTCAATACTTTTCTCCATTCATTCTTTCTTGCCACTTTCGGCTTTCATTGATCTAAATAGCTGGTGTTTTGTGTTTTAATTTGTCATTCCCCCACTCCCCCCGCCCCTATTTTCTTAGCATATTTAGTTTATCTCGAGCTTATTCCTTAGCTTTCTATCTCACTACCATCCAATCGATGCTAGCTCATAGTAGCCCTATAGGAAAGGTAGAACTGCCCCTGTGAGTTTCCCAGATTGTGACTCTTTATGGGTGTAGAAAGATCTTTCTCCAGAGGTGCAGCTGGTGGTTTTGAACTGCTGACCTTGCAATTAGAAGCACAGCCTATATTGAGACTTACACCCTCACTACTCTGTGGAAACAGATCTTTAAAAGTCAATACTTTTCCCTCAGTCATCAAATCCAGAGGCTTCTTTTCCCATTTTAGTTTCCCTACAACCTTGGAAACCCTATGGGAAGTTCTACATTGTTCTATAGGGCCAGTATGAGTCAGAATTGGATTAACATTAGTGGGGTTTTGTTTGTTTCTTTTTGAGGTATTTAAAATCTGAAAAGGAAGCTATGTTCTACACTAAGAAGTTTTTTAAACTGCTGTTGAGTCCATTGTAATTCATGAGAACCCCATTTGTTACTGCCTGCAACTGTTCCATAGGCTTTTTGACAGATAGAACCAGATAGACAGGGCTTTCCGTGTTGGTTCCACTGGGTAGGTTCAAACCTCCAACCTTTAGGTTAGTTCTTGAAGGCAAGCCATGTACTCCACTATTGTAGACACTTTCATATCTTCATAATAGCCATCTGAGCTTTTTTACTTAGTACAACACTGATGCCCAGAAAGGTTGGGTTAAGTTGTTTATGTTCACAGCCATTGAGTGGTGGAACCATAATTTGGTCCCTATCCCCCCCAAAAAATATGCTGTTCAACTGTAGTATATTACTGTATTGTATATTCTTTTATTTTTCAAATTTCAAAGGCTCCTTGGCTCTAGAACATTGCTCTAACATTGTACTATCCATAACCTACTCTAGTATTGATTCTCATTCTTTATCTCCAACTCAGACTTAAAAAAATAAAACAAACCTATTCTGTGGCCAACTACATGCCTTTCTTGTTTTATCTATCACATCTGAAATCCAGCATTTCCAAGACCACACTCGTCATTCCTTTCAAACCAGCACCTGCCACCTATCTTTTTTCATATTAGACCTTTTTGCCCCCTTTCTGTCATTTTCCTCTTCGTGTAAGTCAGAAATAACAGTCATCGTTTTCATTTTCCCTTTCATTCTCCCTTGACCTCATAGCACACAGATTTATTGAGTGCTTTCACTTACTAAAATCTCAGAACCAAAAGGAGTAGCTCTGCTCGGCCCTGTAGGCTCGCTGTGATTTAATGTGACATAATCACACAGAATTAATGTGATGCCTTTGGGACTTGGACTCACTTCCTTTCACATGTGGGTTTGGTTTGGTTTTCTGTTGGGTGGTTTGTTGTTTTTATGTTTGCATACATGTTTAGGTGATTTTTTTTCTTTCCATTTATGCTGTCTTTCATTGTTTCAGACTGGACAATTGTGGTAGCCTTCTGTCTAATTTCCCTTCTACTATTTTTCTTTATATCACTGTCAAATTCACATGCAGGCCATTGCTTTATCATGCTTACGATCCTTTCTGAATCATCCATTTACATATGGGGTAGAGAATAAACCTGGAATTTACCCGGAAAATCAGCATTATTCCTAAACTCCAGTTCTAAACTTGTTTTCAAATCCAAGACAGTTCCCCCTTGGTTCCTAAAAGTAACCTGAGTTTTATCTTAAAATATTGATTGAGATATTCTTTGCCAGTATTCTTCCTCATTTTGAGCTAACTAAATTCTGCCATTTCTTCAAAGTAGGTACCCAGTAATCTCTTCTAGGACCCTCTAAATGTGCTCACCCATGGTGGGGTTTTCCTTTCATTCAACTACCAAAATGCTTTTTTCATAGTCCTTCATTTGGCCATACTAGACTTACTTGCACCATCGGTTTGTCATACATGTGTATTTGTGGCACAGCTGTGTGGCACAGGTCAGAATTCCAAACCCACCAGCTGCACTACAAGGAGAAAGATGTGGTAGTCTGCCCACATAGTAATGTGCGGTCTTGGAAACCTTGGAAACCTGTTCTCTTCATTCCCACAGGTTCACCACAAGTTGGCACCAACTTGGTGGCAGTGGGTGGGGACCCATCCCATCCTGCCAAATATACAATAGGTTTCCTTCAGGTAAAATTCATGTTATACTTCTCAGTGTCTCTCACTGAGTACCTTGCATATAGTATTTTGTCCTTAATACATTTCAAAATGAAGATACAAAAGTTTTTAATATATTTGTGCTGATTCATTTTGGAGGAAAGCTTTTAAAACTGTTACACATGTGTGTCATGTGTGTGTACAGATATACATATATCTATTTTAAAAGCTAATCTGTGATTGCACATTTTTATATCCAAATCATAAATTAAATGGGTACTCATTTTTGTTTTTCTTTTTTTAATTGTTAACTGGACGAAGGTTTATAGAGCAAACCAGTTTCCCATTCAACAATTTGTGTACATTTTGTTTCATGCCATTGATTGCAATTTCCACAATATATTATCACGTGTCATACTTTATCCCTGCGTTTCCTATATCCATTCTTTCTTTTCTGACTCTTTTGAACTTTGGTCTGAGGGAAGTGTTGCCCTTTTGATCTCAAGTAGTTAATTATTCTAAGTTATGCATTCCTCCCAATTATTCTTCCCCGGACACACCTGCCTATTATTTTGGCTTAAATTGAACCATGAGGGTGATATCATTCTAGACCTAAAGGTTGACTAACTGACATAGTCTCGGGGTCTCACTAGTCTCTACTTGACCAGTAACCCCAGTCTTTTCTGAGTTAAAGGTTTGTCCTATATTTTTCTGCTACTCGATCCAGGGCCCTCTAATGTGATCCCCCTCAGAGCTGTTGACAGTGATAACAGCATAATCAAGATTTCTGGTCTCAGGGTCATGGGGGCTGGGGTGCACTTTGTTTGTTAGACCTTTTTAAAATACCGAATTGCTAAGACACTGAAGATTTGTAGCACCTTCCAAAAAAATTTCTCCCTGTAGTAGGCCTTATGGATAAATGGGAACCTGAGGAATGTAAGGCGTTTGCAACCAGCTGTTAACCCACAGGTGGATGGTTCAAATCCATCCCGCTGCTCTACAGAAGATAGGCCTGAAAATCTGCTTCAATAAAGGTTTCAACAAGAAAATCCTCTGGTGAAATTCTGTTCTGTAATATATATCACTTAGTCACCAGGAGCCCAGCTGATTCAACAGCAGCAATAATATCTATAAAGTGTTTTCGTAGTACACATTTGGGTTTACTATTACATTCTTAAAACTTTTTGCATTTGTTGTCGTTTAAACAGAATTAGTTTGTGATAATAATTTCCTTATAGCTGACAAGAGTCCATGTTCATGCTATGAAGCAACCTATTATAGTACCAATACCATCATGATTTATCTCCAAGCTACTGGAAGAAATTATTCTTTCTATATTAAAATAGTCCCAGGAGAGCCACACTTTAGCTGTAACAATTTAGATAATTCTAAAAGGTGAACACATGTATAATGGGTTTATAATTTACATAGATTAAGCAATCGAAGTCAGTACTAATAAGCTTAAAGCTTCCGCTTGTTTTAGACATATCATCAAGAAAATAAAAGTAAAAATTCAAGTGCTTGACACGCTGTTGCCTGTTGAACAACTCCATTACCTGTCGCTGCAAGTGTGTCCTTTCTTGCGGCACCAGCTGCTTCCTTGGACCGATGCCCTCTGACTGTCTGCCTGTACTCAGCTAGAAAAGGGAATTCTAACCTGCAGCCCTTTAGTGTGTTTTAGCATGTAATTTTCATTTTTAAAATATGTATGTACATTATTATAGGAAGCAGTTTTGTAGCTGTGATCATCCTCGAAAGGGTTTATTACCCCCAAAGAATTTAAGGTCTTTATTTGAATTACATACAATTAGCCTACTTCTTTTTTCTTATAGCAGACCCTTTCAGTCAAAGTTCGATTTTATTAATATGCCTCATGAAATGTGACATCAAGAATTGGGCACTTGTGTAGTGAATTATGATGGGTCCCTGGTGGCACGATGGTTAAGCACATGGCTGCCAACCAGCAATTTGACAGCTTGAACTTACCCAGTGGCTCACGGGAGAAAGACCTGGCACTCTGGTCCTATAAAGGTTACAGAAACCCAAACCTACTGCCGCTGACTCAGTTCCAGCTCACAGTGACCTTATAGCGTGTTTCTAATGCCGTAAATCATTAGGAACAGCACCACCAGGGCTCTCCCCTTAAAACACCTTCGGGGCAGTTGTTCTTTGTCACATGGGATCAATAAAAGTCAACAATTCACTCACGAGCACAAACAAAACAATAACGACATAGTGATGATATACAGGCTACAGTGAACGGCACTATTTCCTTTAATGGAAACTAATTAATACACATGATTACCTTTGCCCTGTGAGATACACATACATATTGCTGAGAGTTCTAATCCTGACTAATTTCTAATGTTCTTTACAGCTTGAGGATCTTCCTCCTTTCAAAGCTTTATTAAAAAATGAAAATATTCATACCACTTATTAAAGAAATGTGTAGTTTTGCAAGAAGACTCATATCCTGGTTTTTGTTTTGTTTTATTTGCGTAGAAAAATAAGTATTCATACAAGTATGCTAGTGTGTTTATTGGAGACATTTAAAATCTGGTTCTTGTCTTTTTCTATTTATCATTCTTTATCTTCATTTAGTATCCTGTCTAATGTCATTTTCCTCACATGAGGACTCCCAGGCTTGACATTGATGCCACCTTTCCCTATAAAACCAACTGAGTAGGCATATTTGCCATGCTGTTCTCAGTTGTCCTCGTTGGGTTTTAAACTGTTCGACTATGTATGCATTTACTCCTCTATAGCTTTTTTATTTGGGGGAACTTATGTTAGTTCAGATATTGAACATTTTAAACATGTATTACATAAAAAGGGAACGACCAACAGTGTGTTTCTATGATGCTTGCCTATAATAAATACTATTAGTTTACAAACAAGTAGCTTCAGGTGATTTTAAAGTGGCATGTATCACATAGTTGTAGAATTCTATACCAATTTAATAGATCATATTAACATTTTAAATATGTTTGAAGTATATTAGAATGAATTTAGTTTTAAACCTCTTACAAATTTCTTTTAAGTAGGTGTGAATAAAGGGTCTCTAGTAATTCACAGCTATTCCTTTGTCTTTAAAGTTGTTTCGATTTAACTAAGCACTAGAAATACTTCTGAAATATTGTTATTTTTCAAACAGGCCAGTCAAGTAAATATACAGTCAACTCTCGGTTATTCAAACTAATGGAGGAGAGGATGGAAACAGACACTAGTATTTCTCGTCACTGCCCCCTTGAGTCAGTTATTGGGAGCCTCATTCCAAACAAATTTTGTGGCTTTCCATCTTGATTGTTTAATACGTTCTAGCCCTTGTTTCCAGGATTCAGCCTAAAACATGATGTAAGACTGAGTTGCCAAGAAAGTTTCACATTATTGTTCATCTGTATATACTTTTATTTTTTTAAATGAGCATTGCTTTTATACAAATACAATTCACATGTGAATTTGCTAGCACTGCTATTAGTGTTTTACCCTGATGATTCAGAAAATTAAAGTAAAAAAGTTTTACTTTTGAATTATAGTTTGCAGATAATTAAAACCTTTCAAGAGCATTACCTCATGGTACTAAATTGCTTTACAAAATTTTCAATACAAAATTTTATGAGAAAGTTGCTATCTTGAGGAGTCTTTTATAAAAATCCTTCCAACTCTTTGAATTTTTAATGTGTGCAATATTTCTGAGTACTATGTAAGTGTTTTCAAAGTAAAGAAATGCTGAAGGAATTTATGTATGAAAACAGTATGTTGCATGTATATAATACGTCATTTTCTCTACCAATTAACTACACACAACGTGCGATTATCCAGACACCAGCACTCCTGAGAGTGCTTGCTTCTGAATAACTGCTAGTTGAAATAAACACACTTGCCTTTTATTTCAATAACCGCACATTGAAATCCACACAAGGCGTTTCTTTGAATGTGGCCTCCATAGTCATATATGAGAGAACATGGGCTTGAGTGTTTGGTTTTGTGGTTAATGTTTTGTGGTTGTTGATTCAAATCTAAAGTAGGAGTTACCGTATGGGTAATGCTTCTCTGAAACACTGCATGCAGAGAAAAGGAAATTCAAGGCTAAATCCTATGCAAAACATTCAAATTGTTTTGTCTTATATTTTGCTTCAGTGTATGTTGTAGCTAAATTCTTCCAGAATGCCGCAGTGTGTAAAGTCAAACCATGTACAATCCATAAAGTGGCCTGGAGATATGCTTACTTTAATTTAAACTCAATAATTCATTATTGTTTTTAGAGTAAAATTACATTACTCTTTTTCTAATTTGAAGAATTGTTTTTCAAGATGCTATTACCTTGGAAAGTGTACCGCTGTATGTATCTGAGATTGAAGAAGTTTTGTTTTCTGTTAGGCAAAGGAGGTGCTTGTTAAACAGTGTATTTTAAAGTCTATAATGGCTTCTTCCCCACCCACACCATCATATTTCTGTATAGTTAGTTTTAACTGACATGAGGCAGAAAATTGAATGAGGATTTCTTTAGGAGTCTTAACTTTGAATTTCCTACTTTTCATCGCATGTAAAATATCAACCATAAATAATAATATTAGTTCAAGTGCTAGCTTGTATTTTGCATGTTAAAGGTATAAGAAATCTATTATCCTGCAAATAATTTATAATTATTGTTCCGCTGTTGCCTGATGGTTAAATTTTATCAATAAAGATGAATTTCATTTATATACGTTTATCTTTCGGCTTTAGGGAGTCAACTACTTTATGTCCAAGGGTATCCTAGATGATTCATCAAAGGAAATAGCAAAATTTATCTTCTGCACAAGAACACTAAATTGGAAAAAACTGAGAATCTATCTTGATGAAAGGTAAAAGAAGAGCATTCATGAGAAAGGATCTTTTTAAAAGTTGACTTTAGTAACTATACAGTGCAGCAATCATCTAGTTCCAAAATTGAGTAAAGACAAAAATACTCCTGTATCTTCTGCTTCATTTCTATAGTGCGCTTTGGCTTGCTGATGCAGAGGTTGCCGTTGTACACGTTATTTTTTTTAAAATTGAAGCCCAACATTTTTGTAATGACAAACCAAAACCCCAAACATTTTTCTGGAAATATCAACCTTCATTTTTTTTTTCATTTTAACTAACTATATACTTCAGTTGTTTAGTTAATTAGAAGTTCTCAGTTCTGAAACTGCCCATTTAAAAAACATAGTAATACAAACTGTAGTCAGAAAACCCCAAATCCTAGTGATAAGAGATATGTGTATTACTGCATATATCTAGTACACACAAGTGCAATGTGTGAGTTTGAAATGTCTGAACCTGGGACGTTTATATTCTATATAATGTATAGATGATGCCTATTGTACTGCCCTAATTGTTGCTACTCATTCATTTGTACTCTTCAGTCCAGCCTATTAATGGACATCAAAAGGTTGGGATATTTTGATGCGATGTCACTGAACGCTTTAAAATCATATTTAAAATCACACATTTCATACTAATCTAATGAATGGCTCAAATTTTACTTATGTTTCACTATCATTTTCTGGGTTATTCGTTCATTTGTCTGACAATTAATCATTAGAAGCATAGTGTTGTGTACAGTAGCATGTTTAAACAAGTCTGGCATATAGCAGCACTTATGCAAAATGCCTGGGACGTGAAGGGGAGCTTAGACAGCAGTTAGAATACAAATGTGTAAAATGTGTGTTATTTGCACTAAAATGTATTTAATCTATTTGCTATATGGATTTAGCTAGAAAAACACATAAGCATTTGAAGATGCTCCTTTTAATACAGCATAATTCCTTTGTTTATTTATAATTATTAGTTTTATGTTATTTTGTTATAATCTATTTATGAAAAATTTTAACTGGTTTAATTTAATAAATGATAATTATTAGATTTTTTTAATTTTCAAAACTATATTTTACAGAATTAGCTGACCAGCTAAACAATAAAATACTGAAATATTTTCAATCAAAAATGACAATTTACGGTTTTTCTTGAAACTGTTTTTTTTTTTAACTGTTTATTTTTTTAAAGTAAATATTGACTAAAGCTGCATCTTCTTGTCTTTCTACTAGGAGAGATGTCTTAGATGACCTTGTGACACTGCATAATTTTAGAAATCAATTCTTGCCAAATGCACTGAGAGAATTTTTTCGTCATATCCATGCCCCTGAAGAACGTGGAGAATATCTTGAAACTCTTATAACAAAGTTCTCACATAGGTTCTGTGCTTGTAACCCGGATTTAATGAGAGAACTTGGCCTTAGTCCTGGTAAGAATATACAGAGTGAAATAGTTCTTTCAGTCCTTCTATTCAGTAACAACAGTAGTCTAAGACGTTTGTCTCACTTCTGATAGTTACTAAGACGTACTCTTTTGGTTGTAGCAGTCTTTCTGCAGGATATGGATGTCAGATGTGAGCTGAAGGAGCAGCTACTCTTAGCTATTGCCTTTTTTTTTTTTTACAATATATTGTTTTAGGAAGAAAGTTATATTTAGCAAAATAAATTGTTTTAAATTATTCTTGTTTGAACTTTAGATATTTTACTAGTCTAACAGAGAACGCGATATATTATGCGTAACGCTTTTAATAGTACGCATAATGAGTAAATAGCATCTAGAATTTTTCTACTAACTTTTTAAAAATGGAAATGGTTTTTAATGTGTTTGTGTGTGTGTGTGTGTATATATATATATATAGCCTGCATCTCCTGCCTGTTTTTCATTTGATATAACTTCACATAGATCGTTACATGAACATTTTTATTGTGCTTTTTAAGTTAATGATAAAATATGTTAAAAATGTTTTACCAGATATACCGTTTAAATTGGCTTTCTTAAGACTACAGTATCCCAAAATATAAGCACCATAGTAATAGCTACTGCCATAGTAATACTACCAAGTACAGTCACTGTTAAGTACTCGTTGTAAGTAATAACAAGTGTCATGATGCTTTAGACTACTTTAATATTAAGTATCCAATATTACCCTGAGATAGAATAAAGAAGAAAATTATCTCCTGAATGATACTTAATTATAACAATTTTTTCCTCAAAGGTTACTTTTAAAATTAATGTTAATTCTATAGACCTTTAAAATATATTTCTCAAATAGAATATTCGTTTAATAATCTTATAAGTTATTTATGTTTAATTTTCCAATACTGACATAAAGTTGAGAATAAATTCTCATATTTTTAAATATTTAATGAGTTTTTGGTATAAATGCCTAAATTTATTTTTAATTGAAGAAAATACATGTTGAATTTCACAATTTTGAATATAAGTAAATTGATGTTCAGTTCGTATGGCTATTGATTCCCTGTTTCCCCAGAACTGGAAAATCCCATGCAAACAAGATGGGGTATGCTGTAATCTTGGGACTATTTTTAACCCGGCTAATAACTTTCTCTTTCCTTCTAGATGCAGTCTATGTACTGTGCTACTCTTTGATTCTACTTTCCATTGACCTCACTAGCCCTCATGTGAAGAATAAAATGTCAAAAAGAGAATTTATTCGAAATACCCGTCGTGCTGCTCAAAACATTAGTGAAGATTTTGTAGGGCACCTTTATGACAACATCTACCTTATTGGCCACGTGGCTGCATAAAAGCACAATTACTAGGACTTCATCTTTTAACTTCAAATGAAAACTACCCAAGGACCTAGTTAGCAGATATGGAAGGTACATCAGTGATGGTCAGTCTAGCCTCTGTACAATCAACCTTGAGTGTACAACCTTTTCCTCCTTTCACTACTTTCTTTTTTAGTAATTTCCTGGGGAACTCAAGGATTTTACAGAGTTTTTCTTAATTTTGCTCATCATGTTTTGCACAAAGCCGAGCCATTGCTGACACAACTATTTAAGGATGTAAAAGTGACCTTGTACTCGAAAAGGTGGTGTATTTGTGCATTCGATTTGCCTGAAATTTTATCTAATTTCATTCCTTTGTAAAATACCATGTAATATGTACATATTTAACTAAAGAGATTGATAATCGTAATTATTTTACTGTAAAGATTTTAACTAAAGTTTCTCCTTTTCTCTCAAACTGTCTTCTGAATTTATTTGATCTGAGATTACTTTCTCTGTAAAAGTGGGGCTGACTTCAGATGGACTGTGAGACCACCATCCTTTGCCTGTGGATTTTGAAGAGTATTTATTGTTGCCATATTATTGTGCAAACTAGCACTTATTTATATATCACTTGACTTTTTATTCTTAAAACATCCAACTTAATCTTGGGAGCAAAAATGCTGCTTAATGAAAAGCAAATATATAAAATATATCTTAAGTAGTAATTATTTACTAATTAAAATGCAAAGCATCAGGATTATAGGGGACAATGTATTTATATCCTAGTTTCCCAAACTTATTTGGCTTACCAACCAACCCCTTTTCAGGAGGGAAAAAAAATTATCCAGCAACTCCCTGGCAGTTAAAAACTTTTGAATGGTAACCTATCCTCCCAGATAAAGTGTAGGTCAGTGGTTCTCAACCTGTGGATTGCGACGCCTTTCGGGGTTGAACGACCCTTTCACAGGGGTCGCCTAAGACCATCGGAAAATACATATTTCTGATAGTCTTAGGAACTGAGACACCACTCCTCTGTCTGTCTCAGGTGGGTCCACCCACATGCAGATATGCCCACATACGACTACCTGGCGTGAAGACTGGTACCCATGCTACACCATGCTTCCAAGACAAAATGTCATTTATTTGTCATTGGGAATAAATATTTCATAATATATAATTACATATTGTTTTTGTGATTAATCACTGTGCTTTAATTATGTTCAATTTGTAACAATGAAAATACACCCTGCATATCTGATATCTACATGACAATTCACAATAGTAGCAAAATTAAAGTTATGAAGTAGCTACGAAAATAATTTTATGGTTGGGGGTCACCACAACTGAAGGACTATATTAAAAGGTCACGGCATTAGAAAGGTTGAGAACCACTGGTGTAGGTACTATCAGCTTTTTCGGCTGCCAGAATCATTTCTGTGCCTCCACAGGAGACAGCCCAACCCACCTTAGGAAACACTGATTTATACTGTAATGCAGCATTGGAATGATAGAGTGTGCTATATAAGTATAGTTCCTAGTTAGGCAATGGGCCTGGGGAGTTGAGAAACTCCTAATGTAGACTAGACCTTCCAAATTTGCCCCTCACTGATGGATAATATTATATTTGGAATGGTGTAGTATAGAGATTTTACAGGGATAAAACATAACCTAAACCATTTTTTTAAATGTTAAAAGGGTCTTTTGTTGTAGGTGAGTACAGATGAGCAGGTTCTGCCTCAGAGCAACTATACAACAAAAGCTCGCCATCACTGCTGTGTTTGAGCCCTTTGCTGCAGCCACTGCGTCCATTCCTCTCCTTGAGAACCTTCCTTTTTGTCGGCCCTCTACCATACCAAGCATGATAATTCTTTTAAACTAATTATTAGTGTCTAAAAGATTCTTTTAAAATAATAATAAAATAGATAATTTACTAAAGTATATATTTAAATAAATTTTATATGTTCATAGTTTTGAATTCTCTGGCAAAATAATTTTAGCTTCAAAACTAATTAAGTTTCTAACACAAAATGTAGTTAATAATTATGTATTGTAATTCTGGCTTTCCAGTGAGTGTCAACTTGCCCTCTCCTCTATGTATTCTCTTCTGTCTTTTCTTTGTTTGTATTTTCCCTCATCCCTGTCTGTTTTCCCTTGACTATCTCCCTTCTTATTTTTATATTTTATAGTTTCTAAATTATTTTCCTTTCTTTCCCTATACTCTGAGTATAAATATGGTTAATAATATACTTTTTTAAACATTTTATTATAAAAGTTGACTTTATGAATAATACCTATATACTCACTACTTAAATTCTGTTATTAAAACGTTACTGTATTTGCTGCATCACATATATATCCATACATCATCCAATCTTAAGTTGATACAAGTCAAAGTGTCACACATGATACATTGCATCCCAAAAGACTTTATCTTGCATACCATTAACTAGAAATATATTTTTTTAAGAGTTTGAGGGTTTTTGGCAATATTTAAATAAAATATATATTTTAAGCATGCTAATGGGTTCTCACAAATATGTACTCTTGTGTAAACCAAATCCCTATCAATATGCACAACGTTACACAGACTGCAGTCAGTGTTGTACCACTTCACATAAAATGTAAGGATCTTGTAACTATACAGTTCTATTTACTTCTTTCTCATTCTTTATTTATTACATATAGAATATTTTCTGAACTTCATGCTATAATGTCATCATTTGCTTAGTCATGCAAATTTTAAATAAAGGAAAAAGTGCTGTTCTTATACACATTATCATTTCTGATGCTCTTACTCCTTCCTTAAAATTCAGGCTACTTTATCTGAGAAAATCTTTGTTTTCTTTCTTGAATATTTATTTTTTTGTGGATGGAGAATTTTGAATTAACTGTTTGCTTTTGTTTCATTTGTTGGTTCTCTTCATGGGAGGAGAAAACCTAGTCTTTCTCCAGAGGAGTGGCTGGTGATTTCAAACTAATGACCTGGAGGCAAGGAGCCCAATATGGAATCACTATGCATCAGGACTCTTGAGTCCGAAGCAACTTGATGGCATTGAGTTTGGTTTTGGATTTGAGGACTGTACTTAGTTTTTTTTTTTCAAATATTGTTTTTGGTTTTTTGTTCTATAATTTCTGTCTTTTCCTCATAATTTGTATTTCTATACTACAATTATTCTATCTTCATATTCAATATAGGCACGTTTTTCTTTATATCCCTAGTAATACTTATAATCATTTCTTTAAAAATCTTATCTTCTCATTCCAATATATGGATCAATGTCATTCTTTCAATCTTGAGAGATTAGATAAGAAACTTAGGTGATAGGTGCATAACTTAAAGAATATAATCAATTATTCAGGTTACTGAATCATAGTCACTAAATTGTGCATGTAGAAATGAATTAATTAGTATACAAGGGGATACCACCACCCCCCAAAAATGGAAGAAAGCTCCACTGGGCGGACCTTTCACAGTATTCATTTTTCCTGCTAGGTGAGCATCCAGCAACTC